CATCCATCCATCCATCCATCCATCCATCCATCCATCCATCCATCCATCCATCCATCCATCCATCTAACCAACCAACTATGCAATCAATCCATCCATCCAACCAACTATGCAATCCATCCATCCATCCATCCATCCATCCATCCATCCATCCATCCATCCATCCATCCATCCATCCATTCATCCACCCATCCATCCATCCAATCAATTATCTGCTGCATGTTCTGGAGTCAAGCAGGGAGGCCCAGACATCTATTTTTTCCAGTCACCTCTTCCAGGAGAAATTCAGGGTGATTCCAGACCACCTGAGGAACACATTCAGGGGCTGCGTCCTATGAACGACTCAGCCTACCTGGTCTACATGGACCGTGTCCTTTGCCAGCTGCAAAGGCTGAACGAAAGTGGCTGTGAATTTGGACGGTCTAGCCTTCAGCTTTATTCCCGTCCTTATCCTGGTTTATCCTCTGAGTAAGAAGAACTAAGGGACCTGCCATACCAGCTCCTTTACGATTATGTCAGACAAGAATAATATTAAAAACATGTCTATGCAACAGCACAACCATTTTAAACTTTCAATGTTTGTATGATTTGCATTTTTGGCCCACTACGGAGAAGCCTTTGAATTTGGACAACCTTTGGTGCATCAATGTGACATAATCAGCCTTCGAAGGATGCAGCCCCTGACTTTGGACACAGCCGTTGTCTCTCCAGCGTGTCCAGGGTCTTCCCTGGGGATCACCTTTAGGATGAACATGCCAGTAACACCTCCCTGTAGATGATGATGGTAGGATCATAGACCGACCCCTAAACAGAGAACTTCAGCTATTATGAATGCCCGTAGATGAGCACTGGCCTGCCTACAGTTATTTGCACAACATTCATATTTTGATTTGCTACTACTCCGACAATTTAAATGATACGTTCAAAAAATACAGCTAATTGTGCAACTCATTTGAAGATCGGTGGTCAGGGCTAGTGGTGGCAATACTTCGTACAACCAAAATAAAATTTGCGAAGAAATTGTAAATAATTCTTCATACAAAATAATGAAAAGTTGTTGAAATGTGAGAAAACTCAGCCTTCTTTGGAGCTCGATAGCTCAGACATTCAGTATAGAATCATTATTCAAGTTTAAATCAGACACTGAAAGTTAAACTTTACATTTTAATATTTTTCATGTTTTTTTCCTCAACCAGAGTTTTATGATTTTTAAAAATTTAACCACAGATTATCCAATTTAGGAGTGTCATGAGACTGAATTCAGAGCTGTCTAAACTTTCTAACATTTTAGCACTTCTTCTTTCCCACCTAAAACTTTACACTTTGTATACAGTTTCTACATCAAAACGTAGACAAATTTGTCTACTTTCACCCAGTGTGTCTCTTAATGGTACACAACTTACAATTTTCTTGTGAGTGTGTACACCCACACCTATTTACCATTTTATCTGAGCTCGGAATTTTCTCTTCCAAAATATTATTCAATTTAACTCCATTTAGGACAACAAAAGTCATATAACCAGATTCAAATCTAATTATGGATAAATCCAATCCAATCTTATAAAACATTATGCAATGCTAATTAGAAAAAAGTTGTGTATTTAAAGAAACCAGCAGGTTTAAATCCATAGCAGTGAGAAGGAATGACTCCCTTTGAACAGGAAGAAACCCCAAAACTTTAATTTGTCATGTTTACTACAAAAATAAACTAAAAACACTGTCAGTACATAAAAACATGCAACAGAATTTTAATATGAATCAAAGTTTGACCGTTAGGCTTACTTCCTGCTCTGTGTTTCTGCCTGTTTTATGGAGAGATGCTTTATCATTTCTTTTGATCCTGGTTTCCTATACTTTTGTAATTTATGCACAATAAAATGTCATGTCTTTCAATTTGATCATTATCAAACAAAGTCCTGAATTATTATTGTTTTTTATTTATTTATTTTATTTATTATATTTAATTTTTTCTTCTGTCACCTTTCTTCAGAACTTGAGTCTCTCCTGCAGTAAACATGATCCCACACAGGGTGGAATTGGAATATTTAATCCAAAACAAATGAAGCCCATGTTTGTTGCTGTTGAGGGCTTTGAGGCAAACATTTGCAGCCCTGTTTCATTCCACAGGCTGGAGTCACTGCTTCTGAAAATAGCCTCTGAATGCTGCCTGTGGACTTGAAGGGGAAAAACCAGAACTTTCATATTTCTTTGCCCATATTTTATGTCATAAGTGTGGGTTTGGATCCACACATTAAAGTGATTTTCTTGTTGTTATCCCTCGGTCTCTGCCCTGTGTGTGTGTGGGAAATGTTTCCAGTGATAATCCTACCTTGTGCGGAGCTTTCAGCAGCCTGTGCACACCCGCAAGCTGGTTGATGAGGGGGATATCCTCTCTGAAAGTGTACAGAGGGGGTCTGGTCGGCTCTGGGAAGTTGGTGCTGTTGAACGGATCGGTGTCGTCTAAGAACTGGACCCTGCAGATGAACGTGGCCATGGTGCGTCCATGCAACTGGCTCCAGAGATGCGGACCGGTTCAGATCAGCAGGAGCTCCTGGTCCTGTGGCTCCTCTGATGATGGCAACAACCTGTCTCCAAGAGGCGCACTGGCGGACTGAGCGGGGGGGGTGAAGGGGGGAGCCGCCCCCCCCCCTCTCTCTTGCTGTAGGCTGAGGGGGTGGGATGTCGGAGGGGGTTATTCTCGGAGAGGCAGGTGGTTTGGTGATAGAGAGTGAAGGATCAGCGTAGCTCGGGACAGCCGGTCTGCTGTCTGTCTGACTCTAAATCCTCCTCCTCCCCTCTGCCCCCTCCCTCCCTCCAGCTCACCGGCTCCCCCCCAACATAAAAATGGACCGCTCTAATCCGATGGTGATTTTACTCAGAGAAACATTTTATCTACAGCCATGACTCGGAATAAATGTCTGCTTTAAAACAAACCACTGAAACAAAAGATGCATTCAAACTTTTTTAATCACATGAATTTATTTGTGTTGCTTTTCAAATACAGCTGTTTAATAAGTATATATAT